AATGTGAGCAAATAATACTGTAAAATATAATGAGTTAAAAGTGATATTTGGGAAATTGTCCATCAGCAGTTGTCACCTGGAGACTTACACAAATTTGAAATGATGAAAAGGCAACTTATAATTATGAACCCCAGGTTTTGCGTTGGGTTATGGTCTGAAAACGTTCTTGGTGACGTGTTAACATTTTTATGTTATATTTTAGGCACTCTCTTGTCACTTTTACCTCGTGAGACAGTGTTTCTTTTGTATTGGAACATACAAAGATCATCATCAGCCTGTACCTGGTTAGTTGGAAGAAGCTTCTCTTGAAGCCAAATCATATTCTTGGCAGTGTTTTCTGGCAGAATTGTGAGTAAGCACACATCTTTGGATGAGAAACACCCCCCCCCCCCCCCCCCCCCAGGTGGCTTGTTTTAGGGCGCTTCACTGTTGGCACAACACATGACTCATGTTAACACTCACCTTCTCTTTTCCAGACAACTATTTTCCATACATCCCAAACAATCAGAATAGATCATCAGAAAAACAACACACCTCTTCACCAATTTTCTGCTGCTCAGAGCTTTAATAACCTACAGAGTTCAAGTCAGTCTTTCTCTAGCAGGAGCTACGTATTTTGTGGTCCTGCTTTTGATGGGTTGTTGTTCAAACGTCTGACTGATTCACTCACACCCCCACTGTCATGACTTCATGGTTGAATGAACCCCTATAGGCAAACTGGAAAGCAACAAACAGAACACGTGCAAGAACACCAGCAAAAAACAGACAATCTGAAAATGAACTGAACCAAACCAGGAGTTTAAAACAGGAATACAGGTCCTTCTCAAAAAATTAGCATATTGTGATAAAGGTCATTATTTTCCATAATGTAATGATAAAAATGAAACTTTCATATATTTCAGATTCATTGCAGTCTTACCCATGATTGAGGTTTTGAGTAATGAACAAGGCTGGGAGTTTTTAAAAGCCTCAGGAATCTTTTGCAGGTGTTTAGAGTTACGTCGTTGATTCAGATGGTTAGGTTAGCTTGTTTAGAGAATCTTTTCATGATATGCTAATTTTCTGGGACAGGCATTTTGGGTTTTCATGAGCTGTATGCCATAATCATCAGTATTAAAACAATTAAAGACCTGAAATATTTCAGTTGGTGTGCAATGAATCTGAAATATATGAAAGTTTCATTTTTATCATTACATTATGGAAAATAATGACCTTTATCACAATATGCTAATTTTTTTAGAAGGACCTGTATGTGTATACAGTATATGTATGTTTGTATGTGTTCCAGGTACATCTATACAAGTTGTGGCATATTTAAAATAAAATCTTCAACAGCATTACATATTTGAGCTTTATTTATTTAATTTAGAATAAGTAAAAAACTAACAATCATGGCAATATTTTTTTTCAGTCTATAAGTTCCATCCATCAAATTAAATGAAAGCTTTTTGTTTTAGTGTGAAAGCATTGAATTTATTCCATGATGAGTTTTCTAGAGCAGAGTTTAAAATAAAACTTTAACTCTGTGAGTTTTCACTAAATGTAACCAGCTCTTCTGCTTAATGCTGCCTAATGAATGTGTTTTAATTATATCAGTTGAGGCATAAGGGAAGAAGTGCTGTTCACATGAAGTAATAACTTTTTATTGAAGAGTGATGGTGTTTTTGTCAAGACGTATGTTTTTGTAACTTTTTCTGTCTCTTTATTCCATTATGATCACTTTCTATAATTTCCTGTGTTCAGGTGTCCCTAGTGTCTTCAGTCCTTTTCCACAGTCAGGCTCAGCGTCTCAGTCCTGCTCCTTCACTCACACCAATTCCCCGTTATTCTCAGCTGCAGCCACTCGCAGCCTCGGTCCGTCCCAGTCTTTTTATTCCCTTAGTTTTCATTTATCTGTATTCTGCCACTGTGGCTTCTATGTCCAATCCATGTTGCCACCTTATTCCCCCCCTAGTTTTGTTTTTTGCCGCTGCCATGTCAGCATTTTGTTTTGTTTAATAAATCCTAAGTTTTAACTCAAGCTCCTTATACTTGTCTGCATTCATGGGTCCTACCTTCTTGGAACATGACAGTTTCCATTTACACAGAAGAAAGTCAAGTCATCGGTATTAATAACATATTTGTATACTTTATGTCATTTAAATAAGGTGTACTCTCAATGTGTACAAAAGTATTAAACTGTTAACCGCCTCACACAATGAACATTTCTTTGATTTTTTGTTTTAATTCAGATTAACATGACAAATTTGCTTCTCCCATCAGCTACAACGTACCTGTGAGCTGGAACTTGACAACAACCTGCTGCTTCGTGACAGAACAAATGACGAGAATCTCACAATACACCCTGCATTAAAATAACATAACCAGCTGCTGAGGATTCTCAATAAAACAGCCAAACGTCTCATTATGATGCCTTTGCGTCTGCTGTTGCAGTAACATTTGTCTCCCTGTAGGACCATATTCTTGGACTCCCACAAAGCGGTACAGGACAACAACCACGAGATCTTGCGCACCTCTGATCCTGCAGGGGACGGACTTGCACTTCCCAAGCTCCAGTGATGACAGCTAAAACAGGAGTTCACAAATACAAAGCAAGACATTCAAAACTGCCCAGCGCCTGAGCTTTGTATAAGATTTCCTTTTCTTTTGTGAGTCATAGAAGTGCACTTTACATAACAGGGAACTCCTGACTGGACTCTAACCATGGTGATAAGGATTTATGACATGCACGAACCAATAAACTTAAAAAAAGAAGATGACATAGGCTTAATAAAATGAAGGAGCTGCATGTTTACTCTAAGCAGCGTACAAAACCAAACCTCACATCGGAAGGATGCGCAAAATGGATTGTTTCCCTATTATTTTTTCTTACTTTTGCAAGACTTTAGGTGAGATTTTGATCCAGTTGCAAGGGCTGGTTATAGTCTGAACCATTGAGCTTGACTGTGTAAAAACTAGACATGGATTAGTATCCACTTCACCAAACTGCAGCTTTTAAGACTACAAGTGCAACAAAACAATAGCGCACGACAAGAACGGATCACCTGCGCTCTCCTGCACGCCCAGTTATCTGCACCTTTCCTGGAAACTGGTGAGTCCATCTAATGACTTTCCGCTCTCGCAGTGTTCAAAAGGAGGAACAAATTCAAGTGATTATTTTAAGGGAAATTGTCCTTAACAGGCCTTACTGAGCGACATGCGCACATTTTATCTTTAAATATGTCAAATGAATAAAATAAAATGATATCACCGTTTCTTATAATGTGTAAAAGCAGGGAGTGTTGTCTTTTACCTGAGGAGTTTTACAAACAGATGATTGATGCAGCATATGTTTCTGAATGAAGGCCCACATTTACAAGTCAAACACCTCCTGACAAGCATGTATTTGGAAACACACCAGTTTGCCGTGGGCCTTTATGACACATTGTGAGTGTCTGATTGACAAACTCACCCTGTCATCTGGAATTAACATTTTTTTCCAGATTAGTAAGACTTTTTGTTTTTAAGAACAAATGTACATTAAAGTCTCAACAGTGCAGTGTTTGATCATTCTTCATAAAACAAAAGCAATTAAAATATGGTGTAAAACAATTTTTTTAAGGAAGTTGACTACTGATTTCATAAGGACATTCTAAAAAGTGAAACACCATAAATCGTTTTTTTTAAAGACAATTATATGATTTAGTACCTGCAGAAATGCTCAGAATGCATGTGTCCCCATCATTACGTGTTCTCGCTTTGTTTTCTGCGCACAAACAAGCTTTTTGTAAGACAAAGAGCAGCTTTTCTTAAGTTTGTTACTTGTGCACAACAACAGGTTGCTGCTGTTAGCTTTTTGTAAATTAAGCCCCGTGCTTGGTGTCACCTTTCCAGCATCATTTTCCACCTCGGACTAAAAGTTAAACATGTATGAGGGGGTAGGTGTGAAGCGGAACCAACGAAAATCATTGTGATCGTGTTATACTTGTTAAAATCCTATCATGAAAAAGTTGATTTTACTTCAGTAATTCCATTCAAAAAGTGAAACTTGTATATTATATGCATTCATTACACACAAACTGATATATTTCAAATGTTAATTTCTTTTAATGTTAATGATTATAAATGAAAACCCCAAATTCAGTATCTCAGAAAATTAGAATATTACTTAAGACCAATTAAAAAAAGGATTTTTAGAAATGTTGGCCAACTGAAAAGTATGAACATGAAAAGTATGAGCATGTACAGCACTCAATACTTAGTTGTGGCTCCTTTTGCCTGGATTACTGCAGCAATGTGACGTGGCATGGAGTCGATCAATCTGTGACACTGCTCAGGTGTTATGAGAGCCCAGGTTGCTCTGATAGTGGCCTTCAGCTCTTCTGAATAGTTGGGTCTGGTGTATCACATCTTCCTCCACAATACTCCATAGATTTTCTGTGGGGTTAAGGTCAGGCGAGTTTGCTGGCCAATTAAGAACAGGGATACCATGGTCATTAATTAAACCAGATACTGGTAGCTTTGACACTGTGTGCAGGTGCCAAGTCCTGTTGGAAAATAAAATCTGCATCTCCATAAAGTTGGTCAGCAGCAGGAAGCAGGAAGTGCTCTAAAACTTCCTGATAGGTGGCTGTGTTGACCTTGAACCTCAGAAAAGACAGTGGACCAACACCAGCAGATGACATGGCACCCCAAACCATCACTGACTGTGGAAACTTGATTGCCAAAGGAAATGCAAAATTTATCTTCATCAGAGAACATACAGTAACTTTGGACCACTCAGCAGCAGTCCCAGGCAAGATGCTTCTGATACTTTCTCTTGTTCAAGAGTGGCTTGACACAAGGAATGTGACAGCTGAAACCTGTCTTGCATACGCCTATGTGTGGTGGTTCTTAAAGCACTAATTTCAGCTGCAGTCCACTCTTTGTGACTCTCTCCCACATTATGGAATGGGTTTTGTTTCACCATCCTCTCCAGGGTGCAGTTATCCTATTGCTTGTACACTTTTTTCCTACCACATCATTTCCTTCCCTTCGCCTCTCTATTGATGTGCTTGGACACAGAGCTCTGTGAACAGCCAGTCTCTTTAGCAATGACCTTTTGTGTCTTGCCCTCCTTGTGCAAGGTGTCAGTGGTCGTCTTTTGGACAACTGTCAAGTCAGCAGTCTTCCCCATGATTGTGTAGCCCACAGAACTAGACTGAGACCATTTAAAGGCCTTTGCAGGTGTTTTGGGTGAATTCACTGATTAGCGTGTGGAACCAGATGTCTTCAATATTGAACCTTTTCATAATATTCAAATTTTCTGAGATACTGAATTTGGGGTTTTCATTAGTTGTCAGTTACAATAATCAACATTAAAATGAATAAACATTTGAAATGTATCAGTCTGTGTGCAATGAATAATGAATATAATATACAAGTTTCACTTTTGAATTGATTTACTGAAATAAATCAACTTTTTCATAATTGTATGTCCAGCACCTGTAATTATAAAAGTACGAGGAGTTCTAACGAATTCTCCCATTGCTTCCAGCTACAGGGTGCGTTCAAAGACAACCCGTTATTTATTTTTTTAGACCAAAAAAAAATCAGTCTAACCGCGGAGTTCAGCAGATTCAAATGTTTGTTTTTGACCCAGAGTTGCGTGAGCCCAACTGCACATCAGAAGCCTTAAGTATATATTTTTAATTATTTAATTTTTAAAAGATAATGAACTTCGGAAAAAAATTCCCGACTACCTTGAATGCGTCTAGCCCAGCCAGTTTTTAAATTGCAGCTAGTTAAGAGCTAACTAACTGCATGCTGCGTTCACTGACGGATACTTTACTCCACAGAGAGGTGAGGTGAGTGCCCGTCACATTTAATTTTATCTTTTAATGCTTGCTTGTTAAAAGGCTGAGCAGAGGGAATGAGAGTCACTTATAAAATAAGCTTCATACGGGGAAAATCATTGATTTAATAACTTGTTTTTATCCGAGCGGAAGTTTCTTGTTTTTAATCCGTCGTAATTAACGCGTATGTGTGTTAAAATTGACACAGCTTCAAACACTGCTTGGGGTAATGTCCTCACAGTTCATTTGATGACACGATTAAAAAGTTAATTATCGGGGCGGCTCAGTGGAGCAGTGGTTTGTGCGACATCCTCCACAGACACAGATTCGGAAGCTCGCTCCCCCCCAGCCCCTCTGTGTTCATCCTTTCATGTTTTCTCCAGAGCATTTTAGTACACAAAGCCTAAACAAGCATAGGTTAATTGGGAACTCATTTGTCTCTGTCATGGACTAGTTTGGACATGTCCAGGATGTCCTCAGGGACACGGGGATTGTTGGAGATAGACACCTGACCTGGAAAGTAGGTAAATGGGGGGGAAATGGCTCAATGGATGTTCGTTGTCTAATTTAGTCTTAAATGTGCACGCCACTAAATTTCCATGGCAGCCCCTCGTTCCTTGCAGCGCAGTCAGGCTCTGACATATTGTGTCAATAAAATGCATTCAGATTGTACAACACCCCCTCAGGTGTCCGCACTGTTCAAGGTTTCCACAGAGGTCACATCTGAGTTGTACCAAGAACTGTGCTGGTATAAACTTGAAACATGACAAAGAAGAAAGAGGAAAGTGACACAAGGACACCTTTACTTGGTTCAGTATTAGAAATATTTCAGGTCACTTTAAACACCTCTTGTTTTGATATGTTTCATGTGTCCAACCTATGGCCCATGGGCCAAACCAGGCCCTTATTAACATTTAATGTGGTCCCCAAGATCATCATTTAAATGTATTGGATCTGGCCTGGGTGACATGGTGGAACAGAGCTGTCACCTGTCAGCAAAGCGGTTGCCGGATCAAATCCCAGCCAAGGACTTCCCTGGGTGGAGTTTGCATGTTCTCTTTGAACATGCATGCTTTTTTCGCAGGTACTCCGATTTCCTCCCACAGACTAAAAACATGCCTGTTAGGCTGATTGGTAACTCCAATTATCCCTAGGTGTGAGTGAGAGTGAACGGTTGTTTGTCTCGATTGTCTCTGTGTCCCTGTCATGGACTGGAGACGTGTCCAAGGTGTCCCCCGCCTCTCGCACAGTGACTGCTAGATATGGGCACCAGTGACCCCTGCAACCTGGAAAGGAAGATGCGGGTTAAGATCATGGATGAACTGCATCACCTCTGTTTGCTTGAATAAAGAAACTGAGCATGCTCAGTGCAGACTTCTCATTACAGCCAAGAAAAACAAGTTAGAACTGATCAATAATCTTTGATTTACCATCAATTTGCTTTAAATAAATCTCTTATGTTACTTTAAAGTTCAGATTTTTTATTTTATTTTATTTTACTGATTTGAAGGATTGTGGTAAATTGTATTCCTAAGTTTTAATAAATGTAAAAAAAATTGGATAAGAAATTATTGCACATGTGTCTTTTTAGGTTTGATCTTTTTTCCTTTTATTTATTACAGTAGGTTATGTTTGTTCTATACGCATAAAATGAATGTTCTTTCATATTGCGTGAGTTTTCTCGGTTTCCTCTCATGTTTAGGCTGCCTGCAGGCCTCCCTTGAATAAAAGAGCTGGGATCTCAAAGAGGTTTGCTGGGTTCAATAAAAGGTTAATAACAATAAAAAGCTAAGTTATAATTATTTTTTTAAATAAACAAAGGTAGATTGACCCTTGCCTAGCACCATGGTTTTGTGATTTGAGTTTGCACCCCTTGTCGAACAGATATCAATAAACGACTGTAAATTTGAGAAACGCTGATTTATGCCCCGACTGTTTTAATCATCTCATCTTGCACACTTAAAAAAAATCATCAACCGGCTATGCCTGTGCTTACTTACTCATTGATCAAATAGTAAGGTGAAGATCCAGTAGAATCTTCTTTCACCAACTTACTGTAGCCCACAGTTTAGTTTATTACAGTAAGAATACTCTTTTCTATAGATAGATAGATAGATAGATAGATAGATAGATAGATAGATAGATAGATA